CGGTCTAGTGGAGGTAATTGGCAGCAGGCAGTCTCTCAAGTACCCAGGTGCAATACCATGAAGGGCTTTATAAGTGACGACTAGCGCCTTGAAGCGTATGTTACTTGTGGGCTTATGTCTTTTGTGAAACAATGCCATTGTAAGATTCAAGAATGTTGTTGTGCCTTCCCTCTGGAACATCCCCCCCCCCCCCCCAATAAATCTGGTGACACTGAGTATGTTGCCCTTCAGGAAGTCTGTAAAATCCTGTGTTATCCCGTAGGGATTAGGAGTGAGGGTTTAGTGGAACCCAGTACTGGACAATGTTGTTGACAGAGAGTGCCTCAGCTTTTGTATTTTGTATTCAAAGTTTGTTTTATATATGTGTTTGGGTGTGTGGGCGCTTTGTTGTATTTATGCTGTTTTTATTGTTTTGCATTTGAGCCACCCAGAGTTTTATAAATAAATACAGAACATATTATCGAATATGCTTGAGTCAAACTTCATTTTAATCACACTCATATTAAATCCAGTATCCAGAGAGGTAGCAGTTTTAAACTGTTCCCTCCAAATCATAAAACTATAGTGGACCATAGTTAACTGTGCATAAACACTTACATTTTTATTTATTTGCTTGTTAATCAGTTATGCAAGTAGGTTCTAACGGAATAGTAAATGATGGAAGTGGAATAACAAGTATTGATGCATTTCTTGTCTTTGTTTAGTCTCATATAAAAAAGAAGTTTAAGTAATATTTTGTAGAATTCAAACAGATTATAAGAAAGTGGAGGCTCTGGAATTGTCTAAATTATTAAAGTTTTATGTTGGACTCATTCTGCTGAAGCAGGTTCAGGTAAACCTGGATGAGTTACTATGAGTTTTTTTTTTAAATCACGGTAGTAGCTTAGGAGTTGCCCATTCTAAAAAGCATGGATTAAAAAGAACTGAGCATTGTGTGAGTTGAAACTGCTTTGTAAATTAAACCGCTGATTTCATGATGTGACTTTATTTCTTTTGTCTTTGGGCAGACATCTCCAAGGCTATTACAAGAGGAAGCACAGACACAGTTAAAGGTGTGAAGCGTAAAAAGATTGTAGCTGAGAATCATCAGACAAAAATACCCAAATCACCTTTGAGAACTCCAACTCAGGCAAAGTCTAAAGAAAAAGTAGAAGACCATTCAGCATCTTCTAAAACACTTCCTGATACTTCAGAGCTATTGAAAGAATCTCCTAGTTTGGCTTCACAAAATGGGAAACAAAATAAACAAAACGTGGGGACATTTAATAGCGAGGTAGCTGTTAAAGTATCTACAGCAGAGACTATACTACACACGAAACCGCCTCTGTTACCTCAGTCCTTGGACTTAAATAAATGGCCAGTAGAAGAATACAGTTCAACTCAACTACATTTACCAGTGAAGAAAGGTCTCACTAGCTGTTCAAGTATATCAAAGATAGATAATAATGAATGTATTAGTTTTGTTGATTGTAATAACTTGTCCTCCTGTACCAATACTGCATTTGATGTCTTACTGAAAGCTATGGAGCCTGAGCTGAACACTTTAGCACACGAGTGCCCTTCTAGTGGAATGCAGATTGATAAACAGAGACCAAACAGAACTGTTAACACCTCTTCCTCTCTTGCATCCAATACACGGAGTGCCCAAAGTCACGAGGCTTCATTACAGCAAAAAAATGTAGCTGCATCTCAGTTTTATCCTTGCACTCCGCAGACTGTGCATGTAACAACATCAGGGAAGACTTCACAAGCACAGACGCACTCAGCTGCTCACTCAAAAGAACAAGTTCCCGCCAAAGCTGGACCACGCAATCAGCAAGTAACGGCGTGCCCAAATTTCACTAGTTCTGTGGTACATCAACAGAATCAGGAAAATCTCAAACTCCAACATATATACAGCACAGCGGTAACTTCTTCGGTCACCTCCCAGTCGTCTGTTTCTCAGGCTTTTTGTCAAAATCACTTAGTAGCAAAGTCACCTTCTCCTTTGTCAATTAATCCAGCTCTACTACCCAGCTCTACTGCCCAGGTACCCATCGCTCCCTTGTACAATTCAGCCCAGATAGCCTCCGTTGTCAACCCTGGCTCAGAACAAATATGTAACCTCCTTAAAGTCCAGAAGCCTAAAAAAATGGGAAAATATGTCTGTGAGTATTGTAACAGGGCGTGTGCTAAGCCCAGCGTTCTCCTAAAGCACATCCGCTCCCACACAGGAGAACGACCGTATCCTTGTGAGACCTGTGGATTTTCTTTTAAAACTAAAAGCAATTTGTACAAGCACAAGAAATCCCACGCCCACGCTATCAAAGTTGGGCGTGTCCTCCAGCCAGACTCTTCCGGGATGTTTCTCTCCCATGAATCTGATAAAGCACTTAGCATTCATTCGGATGTAGAAGAAAGTGGTGACAGTGATGATGAAGGTACGGCGGATGAGAGGCATGATGATCAAGGATCATTAGAACTGGAACCAACTCATGGAGTGAAGATCCCTCCTAATTCCGAACCCTTACGCAAAGGGAATCCCATCTCACTAAGCAACTCAGAGTATACGGTAGGCAATTCCTCATTTCAGGAGTCAACTATTCAAGCAAGAACAGCTTTACCTAAGGTCATTGTTTACCCTATAAATGTGTCTCCTTTACAACATGATGGGCTCAAAGTAACAGCCCCCAGCTCTACAGTCACAAATGTGAAACCAGATATACCTTACAGTGACTTGATAAAAGATTTTGATACAAACAAATATCAGAAAAAACAAGCAGAGATTTCTGAGGAACGGCCCGGAACCCCTCTAGGGACAACAATACACGCACAGTTACAAAGACAACAGGCAACAGATTGTTCTCAAGAACAAGGAAAAGGTCTCCTGAGCCCTAGAAGCTTAGGCAGCACTGATTCAGGCTATTTCTCACGTTCAGAAAGTGCAGACCAGACCATGAGTCCGCCAGCTCCATTTCTGAAAGGACCCCCCTCAACTGAAAAAGACTTAAGTAAAATTTGTGGGCCACGAATGAGCACCACGGTGGTTACTGCTGCACAAACTACTTGTCCTGACAAGTCTTTCCTTTCATCAGGTCAAATGAGACCACCCTTGGCCACAAAAACCCTTGAAGAACGCATTTCAAAATTAATATCTGATAACGAGGCAGTAGTGGATGACAAGCAGTTGGACAGCGTGAAACCACGTCGAACATCCCTTTCTAGAAGAGGCAGTATTGATTCCCCCAAATCCTATATTTTTAAAGATTCCTTCCAGTTTGACCTAAAACCAATGGGGAGAAGAACAAGCTCAAGTTCTGATATACCAAAGTCTCCTTTTACACCAACTGAAAAGTCAAAGCAAGTTTTTCTCTTGTCTGTACCAACCCTTGACTGTTTGCCCATAACCAGAAGTAATTCTATGCCCACTACCAGTTATTCAGCTATACCTACCAATGTAATCCCTCCTCCACATCCACTACGTGGAAGTCAGTCTTTTGATGATAAAATTGCCTCTTTGTATGATGATGTCTTTGCGCCAGGACCTTCCCCTCCACAGCTCCAGACTGGGCACACTCGCACACTTGTTCGTCAAACAGCAATAGAAGATTCGTCATCCAGCGAAGGGCACACATTTGGACCGGCACGATCTGTAGATGAAACTTACGGGTCCAGTGTATCCAATGAATTATTAATGGCAAGAAGCAAGTCATTTGTACAAGGCTCAAGTTTGGATAAAATCAAAAAATCACATCAAGGCCGAGGGATAATGTTTGAGTGTGAGACTTGCAGAAATAGATATAGAAAACTGGAGAATTTTGAGAACCATAAAAAGTTTTATTGTTCAGAGTTGCATGGACCAAAAACCAAGGCAGCTATTCGAGACTCTGAGCATAAAACTACTGTGAACAGTACACAACCACAAGTCCTTCATTACCGTGTAGCGACGTCGACTGGTGTGTGGGAGCAGACACCTCAGATAAGAAAAAGGAGGAAAATGAAAAGTGTTGGCGATGAGGATGATGAGGCACCAACAAATGATACTAGTAGCCTGTCAAAGAATATTGCAGAAGTAGAGAGCCAAAATAAACCAGGTGACGCTGTCTCTAAACAAGCTGCTCTCCTGGATTCATACAACACTTCAGTCCAGAGACTGGCACATGATGAGACAGAGACTCAAATCACAGAGCAAGCCACAGAGCCAAAAACATTGCTGCATGGGAAGAATCACAGTGTTCCAATTGTGCATGAAAAAAATGAACTGAAACGGCAAGGAGCCGGGATTTCTGTGATTCAGCACACAAATTCCCTAAGCCGGCCTAGTTCATTTGAGAAAGCAGATTCATTCGAAAGAATATCACCTATTTCTTTCCCAGCTAATAAGCCTGAGAAGTTCCATTCCTTGAATAATGCAATTAAAGAAGAGAAGCATCCACGCTTAAGTGCTTCCCAAAGTCTTCAGGCAGCCGAAGCAGCACAGCATCAAATTCATCATGAATGTAGAGTTTCCCCTAATGAAAAGAATGCAGCAGTACAGCCCCTAAGACTTGTTCGCCAACATAACATACAAGTCCCTGAAATACTGGTTACAGAAGAGCCAGATAGAGACCAGGAATGCCAATGCAGCGATCTTGAGAAGACAGAAAAATTCAACTGGCCTCAACGAAGCGAAACGCTATCAAAGCTACCCACCGAAAAACTTCCTCCCAAAAAGAAAAGAATTCGTTTGGCTGAAATTGAGCAGTCGTCTGCTGATTCGAGCTTTGAATCTACACTTTCTAGAAGTTTCAGCCGGGAGAGTAGTTTATCGCGTGCATCTAGCTTCTCAGCATCTTTTGATAGAGATGAACTCGCTAAGAATGAGAATGCCTCCAGAGCAGATCCTGTTAATAAATCAGTGGAATTTATCAAAATTCCCCCCTGTTCAAACACACTCAGTGTGCCTGGTCCTCATTACAGAGAGATGCGACGTGCTGCTTCTGAACAAATTAATTGTACCCAGCCTTCCATGGAAGTATTTGACTCTAGGAGCAAAAGCTTTGATTACGGAAGTGTGTCTGCATCGAAACCTGCCTCGCTTAAAGAGATCTCCTCTTCCAAATTGAATGCCAGTAGTGGTGGCCCTGGACATGTACCCCTTTTGGAAAGGAGGAGGGGACCTCTTGTAAGACAGATCTCTTTAAATATTGCTCCAGAGAAGAATCTGCCCGACAGTGTATCCCAAGCTTCCTTGCAAACAGATACTTCAGCAGAGTCTTTTCAAAAGTTGCAAAGTTCTGAGACGCCTTTGGAGGACATTTCTTCAGGTTCTCCGCACCCACAAAATTATAGCAAGGCTTTGCAGGAATCGGTAAAGAGCAACAACTTTCTTAACTTTCCCTCCACTCAACAGTCTGTAGGATCGAGTCTAAACCAGCCTGATCAGCAGTCCTCACTGAGTCGTAATTCCCAAGCGTCTGTTAAAGGATCAGCAAGTCAAAAAAATGTGAACCAGCACTGTAAGCAAGAGGATTGTTTTGCACCTAAATATCAACTTCATGTTAAAACCTTGCAAGTAGAACAGCAATATCCTTCAGGTCTTCTGGAAGCAGCTGGCATGGATCAAACTGGGCCTTCATTAGAGATGTTTAGTAAGTTAAATAATAACATGTCCAAGCCATATGTAGCACAAACTGCTCCTAATGACAACAGTAGTTCAGTCTATCAGGCAGAACCTTTTGTTGTTCCTGTACGTATTCACAGTAATATTCCATCCTATGGCTTAGCTTCTGTTGCACCCATTCCTCAAATTCTAGTTACCCAGGATCAACTAAGCCAGCCACTTTGCATACTAAATACTGCATCTCCGACAGTAGCAAAAGACCAGGCTTCGATGCCAAAGACCCACAAAAACAATGTGAGGTGTTTGCCTTGTTCCCAGCCGATATCTTTGTTTGAAAACTTAGTTTATGAGACGGAAGGCAAGATGCCAATTTCATTAGGATCTTTAAATCTGATTCAGAAAGTGCCGGTTGGTGGACTTTTCCCTCAACAGGAAGCCACAGCTTCAAGCAAACGCATGCTTTCCCCAGCCAATAGTTTAGACATTGCCATGGAAAAACATCAGAAACGTGTCAAAGATGAAAGTGGAGCTGTTTCTATCACAGGTGCTGTATCCCTGCATCCATTGAACATTAAACCAAATGAACTCAGTAAGCAAAAGAAGCCACTTTTAGTAAGACAGAGTTGTACCACTGAGCCCCTCGAAAGTTTCCCGTTGGATCCGGATGATGAAAGAGGTGGAGCCAATAATTCATCAGATGTCTTGTTGTCTGATTCGCCCGAATCTGCTCAGTCTAAAAGTTATCCATTTGTAAAAGACTCCTTAGAACAAGATAGTCTACCAGCTTCTGGAACCACGGACTTTGCAGGCAGAAAGCCGCATCAGTCTGTTCCGCAGAACACTCCTTCGTTTCTAAAAATTCTAGGTGACAGTCAAGAAAGGATGTCCCCAGAATTTAATGAAAGCAAGAAACCCGATATCCACAGCCAAGCAAATTCTGGAACTAATTTTTCTGCTGTAAATACAGGCGTTACACAGAGATTATCTTTTCCAAGCCTAAAGACCGCAACAAACTTTACATGGTGTTACTTGTTAAAAAGGAAACCAGTACATCTATTACAACATGACCAACAGTCTTCATCTTATTCTTCCTGGTCTATCAGTCCCAACAATTCCAACCTGCTTGGTTTGCCAACAAAGATTGCACTTTCCCTCTTGAATTCAAAACAGAAAGACGAAAAATCATCTTATACTCAAGCAATAAGCACCACCTTCAAATCTGACGCATTGGTCTACTCAAGCAAATGGGAGAACAACTTACTTAAGGTATGTAATAACTGCATTGACTACACTTATCTTCAACTGGGAGATTCTACGTTTAATGTATTTAAGTAGCTTTTTTAAAAAATGTGTAACAGATTTGCATTTGGGAAAAACTTCGCAGTACTCTGTATATTTTCTTATTGCTAATACATCTTAACAATATTGCTAATTACAACATGATCACATTTCATGAGAAGCATAACTTTAGCAGTAAAAAAGCCAGCTGATTGTGGAAATTTTTTCTGTGTGTGTATATACGTACACACACACATAATATTTCTCTTAAATTTGCCAGATGAATTTGACTTTTTTTAGAGTGAGATGAAATAGGAAGGCCTTCAGCTACTTTATAGTACAGTTTCCCCAAATCAAGGTTGACCATTCTAGAGGTGTGCGATAGCCAGATAATATCTGCATGAACAGATGTATTATCAAACTGAAGAATGTTTAGTTATTTATTTCAAACGATATATTGCTCCTTAGCTACCAACGAACACAGGAAGCTTATAATTTTTTAAAACTACAAAACATACAAAAAGAATGGTGTATGGGCCCAGAAAGAACATATAACCAATAACCCATCCAACACGGGCTCAAATTTGGGTCTAATCCAGAGCCAAGTCTTCAATAACTTCCTGGACAGCATTGTGGTAGAATTCACCTGCATATCTAAGGAAATACTGTTTTCCAGAAGGCAGGTGCCATAACAGAGAAAACACATATCCCGGGTAGCACAAGATGACATTGCTTAAGTGATGAACTTAACATGCCCACTGCTATCTATCCATTCTTATGGAAAATAATGCAATTTAAAGTTTTATGTGTTCATAGCAGCAATAATCATGATAGTGAACTCTTAAAAGTATCAAATGAAATTCTCAGTACTCAGTTCAATTTACAGGTCTATTAGTAGCATACATTCCATGAAGCACCTGCCAAAACACAGATGCTTCTATAAACAGTTGCACTAAAACTTGTTATGGCAATATAAGAGTAACTTGCACACACACACACACACACACACACACAAAGTTTGCACATCAGTTCTTGGAATAAGAGATCAAGAGTGGTATACATTCACCTCCTACAGGTATAAATGAAATTGTCCCATTTCCACCACCACCACCCACTGATGTTTTAAGTATAGTTCCAGAACTACTATTAACTGAAGTAAAAAGTTAAATAGCTCCCCCTCTTAGATCCTTGATTGCTAGTCAAGTTTATTTTTTGTTAATATTTCAGATTATATAAGAATTCTGACTTCAGTTGCCCAAATTGCTTAATTTACTGGAAAGAGCATGTATTTATCATTTTTTCGTTTAATAGCCTCTCCTTACTCCAGCATTACTTTTGTAGTGTTCTTATCAGTTGAAAGCTGATAAAACCCAGATCACAGATATTGGATTTATTGAACAGTAACTAAAATGTAGCAAATGTATAACCTTGGTGTACATTTTTATTAGGAATGCTCAGATTAAATCTGAAAGACGTAGAACAAAGAATAACTATTTGTAAACATAA